GCAACAGATTTGGGGTGCTTTGATAGGACAGAGCTAGCACACAGCTCAGAGAGTTGAGAAAAAAACAAAAACAAAAAAGCTTCAATAGCTGAATCAGTAAAACTGGAACAAAACCATGCCAAAGTCCCTTCCTGCTCTGGATGTGTCTTTAATAATTTATTATTTAACATGCATTGGTGTTCTCCCTGCATTCATATCTGTGTGAGGGTATTAGATCCCCTGGAACTGGAATTGGAGATTAGTTGTGAGCTGCCATGTGGGAGCTGGGAATTGAACCCAAGTCCTCTGGAAAGAGTTTCCAGCCCTAAAGATATGTTCTTGGTGACAGATTGGTGAAGTGTTAATTTCAAGGCCCTCCTCTCTAGGCAAAGGTTAGGATCTGTTTGTCATTTCAATAGGACTTCTACCAAGCAAATGCCTAATGTACCTATGAATGACACTTCTCCCATCCTTTTAGCTACACCTATTCTTTTTTTTTTTTTTTAAAGATTTATTTATTTATTATATATGAATACACTGTAGCTGTTTTCAGACACACCAGAAGAGGGCATCAGATCTCATTACAGATGGTTGTGAGCCACCATGTGGTTGCTGGGATTTGAACTCAGGACCTCTGGAAGTGCAGTCAGTGCTCTTAACCACTGAGTCATCTCTCCAGCCCCCTACACCTATTCTTAATAGTTCCTCTTTTGTGTATGTTTGCATGCAGATATGCACAGTACATGCATTGTGTATGACCATTGTGTATGTGTGTGTGTAAATACGTAAGAAGCCAGAAGTCAACACTTACCATATCTTGCTCACCCATTCTTTACTTTTTATCTTGGAGCTCACAGAGTTGGTTAGAAAGCTGGGAAGATTCTCCTATCTCCACCTAACTAGGGCTGGAATTAGCTGTGTGCAGTGCTGGTTTTTTTGATCTAGACACTGAGGACTGAACTCAAGTCCTCACATTTGTATAGCCAACAGTACCAAGGGAGGCAGCTCCCAAGCCCCAATTACTCAATCGTATGACAATTTCTCTCTCTATGAGTCAGTCTATCTGCTCTCTCCAAGTTTTGAGCACAGGAAGTCAAACGCTAATTTTAAGAAAAAGGGAAAGATGAGCAGAACTCAATAGGAAGGAAACTACAGGTAATTTTTTCTGGAAATAAGATCTAATTATTCCATCAAGTTATAAAAATAAAGAGTAAGTGATAGGTGTTGTGGGTTGTCCTGATGCTGTTTATATTCTGATGTTAATTCTGCTTCCTCAAGAGGGGTTGCCCGAGACAAGCAGCCCATCATGTACTAAGGGGATCTCATGTGAACCTTCTCCCCATTTTAACTGGTCAGTAAAGGCTAAAGCCTATGACTGGAAATGGAGGGGAAAGATGGGACTGGAGGTTTCAGAGTGGGGACAGGTAGAGAGAGGAGAAGAGGATGAAAGGGGAAGGAGAGAGGACAGAAGAGGAGGAGGAAAAAGCCATGATGGACTAGGAGGAACCAAAAGTAAGAAAGGGTCTTATAACTGGGAAATAAGTTAGTATAGTGTTAGATCTGTACAATCTAGGCTGATAGCTTATAATTATAATAACTGAATTATATGTTTTTTATATGGGCTTACTGGGTTTAGGTAGGAACACGCCAAGAGTGAAGGATGGAATTAAAACCATCCAACTATCTGATGATTAACTCTCAACTAACAACTGTGCCCGACACTGTACTTAAAGGCAGTCATCAAGAAAAGGAAAAGTCTAGATATGATAGGACAACAACCCTCAGAGAGGACACAATTGCAGAACAGTGAAAAGCGTCAACACTTACTTCTCTTTCTGTAAGAAGACACAGTGGTCATTTTGTAATCCAATATTGTCATCCAGAGCAAAAGGAGCCTCAAGCTTGCTGGTCATATTAGGGCTTAAGATCTTGTGTGTCTGTGGATCCCGAAGAGGTGTCTGAAAAGTCACCTAGTGAAAGGTGAGGAGAGTGCACATGCTCCATGATACAAGCCCTCACAAGCAAGCCAGAGTGCCACAGTGCAAGGTTGTCAGAAGGCCAATCCCAGAGCACCTGATGAGTGCACACATTCTTACCTTTGTGGCTTTAGCCTGGTTCTTGGGTGGTACATTTTCTTTCTGTGACAGACGAAGAACAGAGGATCTTCCGGTAAGTTCTGGTGTCGAAAACAGGAAGTCACAGCTTTCTGAACTCTTCTCATTGGGCACATTTTCGTCATTTAAGATACGCAGACTCATTCTGGGAAAACAGAGTATGTTTCAGTCACTAGGAGGTCAATGACGCTGCAGAGCATGTACAGAAATGACACACAAGTATGACAGGGAGATAGTCTACTTCCGGACAGGTAGAGCTAGTACCCTTTACAGGTATAGTCAATACTTCAAATAGGTGTCATCTTCCAGAGAAAGTCTCAGAGTCCCTTGTGTTGCATCAGGGATGCTGCTACCTCCCTAAGCCAATCACTAAAAGGGCTTAGGTAGACAAGAAAAGAGAATCAGGTGTTTAGAATAACTCCCATTAATGCATTGCACTGTAAGGCAAGAGGCAGGGGATATGATTTTGGTTTGAAGAGAACCAAAGAAGCAGAGTGGTAATGGAGTATACTTTAATCCCAACACTTGGGAGGCAGAGGCAGGGGACCATGGATTCTCTGTGGGAGGAGAGGTACTGGGGAGGAAGGTCATCAAATGAGAAGCTACTGCTGACCCTGCCTTAGGAGCTTTTGAGGAAAGATGGGAGAGGGGCAGAACCAGAGGTTCCCTTAGTAAAGAGAGGTAGACTAGGTTGCTCAGCAAGGTACACAGGTCATATGGTAAAGAAAAAACAAATCAAGAGCAATGTTTAGGATTTTTGGCCAGAAAGCATGGGGAAAGGGTACTGGGATGGATGTGGAATTTACAAGCATAGCCCTCTGGCTGTACAGCCTTAGATGAAGTCTTTTAGGCAAGAAGGCAGAAGAACAGTTGGTTCAGCTTTTGCTGATAGGTAAACGGCTATTTAGGATGGGGTTTTGTGGGGTGGAGTCGGGGGAGTGGTATGTTGACACCCATGAAGGGGAGGTCAAAGATTGACATGAGGTGTTTTCTTTAATTGTTCTCCACCTTATTAGGCCAACAGATCCTGGAGCTCACTAATTCAGCAAGACTATCTGGCCAGTAAGCTCCAGGGCTCCTCCAGTCTGCCTGCCCAGTGCTACGATTACAGACAAGTGCAGCCACACCACACAATTTTTAGGTGGGTGCTGAGGATCTGAAATCAAGTGCTCATGCTTGTTTGGCAAGAAGCATGCTACTGTCTGAGCCATGTCCCCAGCTCCTGAAGGGAGTCCCTGGGGACAAAGCTTGACAAGCCAGGTTTGGGTTCTGAAGTCTTCTTGGTGCAGGAGTGAGTATAGGGTGGGACAGGAGGATATGGAAGTTTTCTTGTTGTTACTGAACTTGTCCTTCTAAGATCAATTATGGGGTGAAGGCACCTATGGGATATGATAAAGCTGAAGTTGACTAATGGTTTCCCAAGTGGAGTTCGGGGGTTGAAGGAGAAAGAAGGATGAAACATCTCCCACCTGGAACAGTGAGTTGGCAGGTGTGTACAATCAAGCGATCATGACAGGAAATACACATTTCTGAGTCAAATTGTATAGGTATAAGCATGAGGTCATCCTGGTAGCTAGAGTTGGGGAAAAAGGCTTTAGCTTTAAAGGACTCTGTTCAGAGAAGGATGCTATAGAGAAGGGAAACTTATCAGGATCATCTGGAGACGGGAAGAAAGCATTTCCAAGAGAAGCCATTTATTCTGAGGTTGTGGCCAGGCTGTACAGAAAGAGGACTTAGAGGCACAGATCCAGGAACAAGAAATATCCCCTGGGACAGTGGGTTCAGGAGGAGAGACGACAGGCAGAACAGTTTCGCAAAAAAGGTGGAGAAAAAGACTTGGGGTAAAGGATGTTCTGGCTCTGCGACACACTCGACCAGAACAGGAACCTGGAGCGGCCTCTTTGGAGGACATCAACTGGGTCAGACCGAGACCACTGGCAGGCCAGCCTGCAAAGCCCAACCCATGGGTCCCAGTCCCGCCTAGGAGGAGGCTAGGTGCATCCCTTAGGTCAGAAAAGAGGCTGGAGAGAGGGGTGGGTCTTCAACAAAGGGAGAGAGCGAAGCTGCGGAAGAAAAGAACAGCAACTCAGCTTGTAGGAATCCAGTTCCGTGGGGCCTATCCCCACCCCGCGCCCAAGGGAAAGAAGAAATAGCCGTTTACCTTACCTGCCTACAGCTGTCGAGCCCTGGGCCTGCGCGGACGCCCACTGCAAGGGAGGAAAGCCGTACCTGCTCCGCGCTAGAAAAAAAGAGCTGAGAAAACAAACCAAAGGAATCCCAACAAGCCCTGCTCTCGCAGTCCGTGAACGTCGTCCGCTACGCCCGCCCCAGATTCAAATACCGGGAGTTGACGTTCCGTAGCCAATCAGCGCGCTGCAGGAGAGAGTTCTGTATAGCGCCTGCGGCCAATAGCAGGCCATACTGGTCCCGCCCTTCTTGCGCAGCAGTTCCGCTTCCGGGACTGAGGGCACAGTGGGAACGTGGGGGCGTATGGGAACTGTCATCTACCATCGCAGGCCTAGTGGGCTTGTTGGTAGCCAGTAACTGTGAGATCCACCATGGCCCAGACAATCTCAGGGTCGGCCGCGAATGCGGTTAGAGAGCGGTTCGCCCTGGCTTGCCTTTTCTCCGCTGTTAAATGGAACCAGCTACAGTGTCTTCTCCGAACTGTTTGTGAGAGAAGCTGAACCCGTACGGGGGCGTCTGGGCGGCTCACAACTTGTGGGTCAGCCCAAGATCCTGAGAGTTGCCCACTCCGTGCCAGGGGCGGCCTCACGAGACTCTGTCTCCCAGGGTGCCCTTCGGGTCACCTGATACTAAAATTGTGTCCCACAGTGCCCCGCGGGCATCCTGAGGAGGAACTCCATTTCCTAGAATGCTTTGCGGGTGCCTTGACAGGAGTCTTTCAGACTCCCAGAATGCCCCACGGGTAGCCTGACTAGGACTCTGTTTCCCAGAGTGCCTCGCGGGCGGTCTGGCGGTGGCTGCAGCAACCTACCAACTGTCCAGAAGTGGACGCTCCTGCCTCTGCCGGACCCGGTGAGCGGCAGCGGGATGGATAGCCCTGAGGTGACCTTCACGTTGGCCTACCTGGTCTTCGCAGTGTGCTTCGTGTTCACGCCCAACGAGTTCTACTCGGCCGGGCTCACAGTGCAGAATCTGTTGTCGGGCTGGCTGGGCAGCGAGGACGCCGCCTTCGTGCCTTACCACCTTCGTCGCACTTCCGCCACACTACTGTGTCACTCACTGCTGCCGTTGGGTGAGCCTCCTGTGTGCGGGCTGGTGGTTGGCGCTTAACTAGGCGCTTGGAGAGTCCAAGGGTGAGGAGGCTCCCAGCCAGAACGGGAGCAGAAGCCGGTCAAGAGCAGGTGCAAGCAAGTGGGATCTCTGCAGCCCTGACTGTGAGCTGAGCGCTCTAGGGCACCATATGTTCTTCCCAGGCGGCGGCCCAGGCGCTGTCCTGCAAGTGGTACTCGGGTGGGGCTAAGCTCTAGTCTTTGACATCACTGCGGCTGGAGTGCAGAATCGTTCGGCCTGTTAGCCGTGTTGGGTGATTTCTAGGAAAGGGCTCCTGTTGATTCATTACAACAGGGGTTGGAGGGCTCCCAGGGAAAGGTGGGTGTAAGGAGAGCAGGCAGAGGTGAAAACGTTCAACGTTGGGTATGTTAATGCAGAATCTTCTTTGCCGGGCTAGGTCTATGGCTCTGTCCAAGGCAATGATTGTATGTGGTGCCTCAAGTGCTAGTGGGACCTCTGAGAGGCCCATCAGTCGGCTGTTTGGAGGAACAGTTGGGGGAACTGCTAGGGTATAGCAGTGATTGAAGTCTGGGATCCAGATGAAAGAGACCTTTGGCCGGGCAGTGGTGGCGCACACCTTTAATCCCAGCACTTGGGAGACAGAGGCAGGCAGATTTCTGAGTTGGAGGCCAGCCTGGTCTACAGAGTGAGTTCCAGGACAACCAGGGATACACAGAGAAACCCTGTCTCGAAAAACAACAACAACAACAACAAAACAACAACAACAAAAAGAGACCTTTGGAGGATACAGGGACAGGGAAAGATAGTGGCCTGTCATACTTGCAGCTCTGGGCACAGGAATGACTGGTGTGAGGATGCAGCAGCCTAGGCTCCAGGCAAACGGAGGCAGGTGTGGCAATAGAAACACTCAGATCTGTTTTGAGAAGGAGGGTGGAGGAGACTCTGTTGGAGAACTGGAGATGGAGCTGGCATGGCCATGTAGTTTGGTTTGGGAACCTAGTACCCTGCAAGGCAGATAAAGAAAGTGGGGCTCTGAGGCAGGACTCCTGACCAAGGGCTGTCCAGTGGGCACTCCCATGCCTGAACAAGGAACCCAAAGTTAATAAGCACAAGTCTCTCAGGGAGGTCATATTGAGAGCAGACAGATGGTCCAACTGTCTTCTGTTGCTACATAACCACAACAAGTTATTTTAGCATGTAGTGAATTGGCTAAAAGTAAACACTTACTATTGTTTTTTGCAGATTGGAGCCTGCTCAAACAGTACCTTACCGTCTACAGATCATTTTGATGCTCAAGTTGTTCCCTGTTGGGTCAACAGTGCCCTAAAATGGGTTTCTTTGTTCTTGCAACATGCCCTATCATTGGGTACTTGTTTACTTTCTTGTACAGTGTCCCAGCTCTGAGATGGGCTATGTTGGATCTACCTCCTCAGAGGAGGCAAAATTGAGATACCAAGCCACAGCACAAAGAACTGTCTCAAGTAGGCCAGTGGTCAGTTTATGCAAAGTCATTGTTTCCTTTTGTTTTTCTAGGATTTTTTTGTTTGTTTTTCTTGGTGTAGCCATGGCTGTCCCAGAACTAGCTCAGTAGATGAGGCTGGCCTCAGATCCACCTGCCTCTGCCTCTGCCTCCTGAGTGCTGAGATTAAAATCATGAGTCATCACCAACTGGCAACTTTGATTTTATTTTTTTCTACTTGGCTATGTCTGTGAAGTTATAGTAGTAAATTGAAAACATTTTTCCTCTAATATGTGGTACCATTGCTCTGGATAAGGCCTGAGGCAGGACTGCTGTGGAGGTTCAGGAGTAAAAGAACATGTCCTGGCAGCTAATCATGCTCTAGGTGACCAAGACAAGGCCTAGGGCTGGCAATAAAAAGGCAATAGCTCTTCCCTTCCCCCAAATAACATTGTGTGGTCTTCAGACGGGTCACCATGGGAGGAAGCTAGCCCCAGCAGCCAGGTCTTCCCCTGAGATGTCTTTTCTTCTGCAGGCTACTACATGGGCATGTGCTTTGCAGCTTCAGAAAAGCAGCTCTACTCCCCTGGTCAGGCCCCAGAAGCCTGGCAGCTCTTCCTTCTCCTGGCTGTGATCCTTCCCCTTGTCTCCTGTACTCTGATTTACTATTGGTCCTGGGATAGGTGGACCCGACACCCATTGGCCCAAACCCTGGCCCTCTATGCCCTTCCACAGTCTGGTTGGCAGGCGGTTGCCTCTTCTATCAACACAGAGTTCCGACGGATTGACAAGTTTGCTACCGGGGCACCTGGTGCCAGAGTGATTGTGACAGACACATGGGTGATGAAGGTGACCACATACCGTGTGCATGTAGCTCAGCAGCAGGATGTTCACTTGACTGTGACAGAGTCTCGGCAGCATGACCTCTCACCAGACTCAAACCTACCCGTGCAGCTTCTTACCATACGTGTGGCAAGTACCAGCCGTGGTACGCAGCCCTTTGATATCCGGTAAGTACATGGTAGTTGTGAATCATGCACCTCTTAAGAGGTGTTAAGGGTAGAGGAGGACTGAGGCACCTATGTGACATTGGTCAATTGATCCCATTAGTGTCATCTTCCTTCAAGATTCCTCTTGCCTTCTGCTTTCTTTTTGTTACTCCTTGTGCTCTATCATTATGCTGTTCCTATACTTTCTTGGGATGGCCTAGGAATGTAGTTTGGTGGCACTTTAGCTCTAGACTCTCCCATCCTCTCTGCTGGGGATGAGTGACCAGTGAGTCTGTGGACTTTGCCTTCATGGCCATCTTTAGTGGATACTTCACTGAGGTGGCTTGTTTTTCCTGGCCCTGCCTGCTTTTGGTTCTGAATGGCTTTAGGTTGTGGACCTAAGAGCAGATTGTCTCAGCTCATCAAGCCATGTCTCTTGCAGACTGAACTCATCAGAATATGGCGAACTATGTGAGAAGCTCCATGCCCCAATCCGAAGTGCAGCCAACGTGGTCATCCGCCAGAGCCTGGGTGACCTCTTCCTAGAAACATTTGCTTCCCTTGTGGAGGTCAACCCAGCCTATTCAGTACCCAGCAACCAGGTGGGGGCTGGCCCAAGTGGGAGAGTGGGTGGGACTTCTCCCAGGACCATCTTGTAGGCCTTTCTGTAACCCCTTTTGTTTCAACTACCTCTCTGTAGGAGCTTGAGGCCTGTATAGGCTGCATGCAAACACGGGCCAGTGTGAAGCTGGTGAAGACCTGCCAGGAGCCAGCGGTGGGCGATTGCCAGCAGTGTTACTGCCGACCCATGTGGTGTCTCACTTGCATGGGCAAGTGGTTTGCCAGCCGCCAGGATCCCCAGCGCCCTGACACCTGGCTAGCTAGCCGTGTGCCTTGCCCCACTTGCCGTGCCCGCTTCTGTATCCTGGATGTGTGTTGTGTACGCTGAGCATCACAGTATATTCTATGTCTCCACTAGCCACTTATGGGGAGTGGCTCAAGCTCCTTGACTTCAGCAAGGGGTTCTACTAGTTAAAGCACACACTTAATCTACAGCCACTCTCTACCTTGAGTCTATGGTCAGTTGAAGTTTTAGAAGAAATTATCATGGAAATGTCCTATCCCTGGACCTTCAGCATCTTCTCTTCCTGTTTACTTCCAGGTGGGGCTGATATGCCACATAGAATGCTCCAAAGCCCCAAGACATTGGAGTTTGGCCCAAGAGGCTTTATTTGGCCTGTTTGCCTTAATTCTATTACAGAGCTTACCTGTACCTCAATTAAAAATCAGACCTACATCTGTCCCAGGCCCTGTAGTGTTGGGTGGACACTGACAGTTGAGAGGATCACTAGGATACCACTCTAGTGTGAGGTCCTCTTCTAGGGTATCCTGGTGGCTGTAGCCAGCCAAGGACCACTTCTTGGTAGGAAGGCAAGGGCAGCAGCCTAGGGCCAGGACCGAGTACTCTCCCAAGTTACTCATGAGGGTTGCATATGCTTTAGAGGGTCCACAATGCTTTTGGTGTCTTGTCTTGCTTCTCTAGTCCAGGGGAGGCCAAGATCTCACACTCCTAACCCTAAGGAAGGGTTTTAGGGAGCCAAGGACCAGAAAGCCACAGCACTAACCAGAAAGAAACTCCCCAGGAATGCAGCACAGGGTTAGCCAAGGCCCTTGTCGGGTGCTTGGATCAGGAGAAGATAACTCAGTGGTTAAGGTTCTGATGGACGTACTACTCACTTATGTATGGTACAGAATGGTGGGGAAGAGGCTGCCCTTTACCCTCCATCTCTGACACAAGTGTAGCTGCTAGAGGGAGGACCTCTCCTTCAACTTGTGGTCTTGAAGCACCTACATTTAGTTGTTGAAAGCAGTAGTGACAGACCAACCTAGCCTGTTATCCAGCCAACACTGCACCTAACCCCAGGGATTTGCTACCACAGCAAACTCAGTTCTGCCTGTCCCTAAAGTATGACAAGGAGTCAGCTGGTTTCGAGGGCTGTCTGCCTAGCAGAGGCCAAGTGGTTTTTGAGATTTATTTTTTAACCACAGAAGAGTTAATTTTATACTGATAAATGTAAATGTAGCTAAATGATACAATATTTAATAAAGTGTTCTTTTCAAGTGATGTACTTTATTTTGTTTAACCTGGTAGTAAAAGCAAACTTTTGCAATATTTTAGATAGTGACTGCAGGATGCTGGGAAAGTCAGATGAGTATAGTCAGATTAGAAACCAGTATTAGAAACCAGTGTTAGTGGTTAGTGCATTCAGAAGGTTATCACCACCATCCCACCCTTTTGCGCAGCTCTGGATCAGATCCACTCCTAAGAAATACCTCATTTACTACTAGGACAGAAGGGATCTGCAGGGGCCCGGCCTTCATGCTGGTGACTCAAGCACCAGAGACAGGGCAGACGGCCTTTCAGGGAAAAAGAGGCCACTAAGTCATTGGCTACTAATGGATGGCTAGTACTGTTTTAAAACTATGGGTTTAAGCTAGAGGCGGGCGCTCCCGGAATATTGTGGCGGCGGGTAGGAGAGGCCAGTCCAGATGTTGGTCTGTGTCTCCGTGTTCCGGCCCTCACCGTGGCCACGCCTCCTTACTTTGAGTGGCAGTGGCGCGCACTGCCCAATCTCCCGCCAATACCCCTCGGGCCCGCGAAGGGGCAACCAATCACAGGCCCAGCAGCTACAGCGCCAGCCTCCTGGAAGGCTGTGGGGGTAGGGGGTAGGTCGCCAGTTCCTTTTCTCCTTAGTCAGGCTATCCCATTTTCCCGCGCTTCTGGACGGCTGCATTAGCCGTTGGAGTTTAGCGACTATCCGCAGTTCCGAGGCTTAGGTCTGAGCCGGGTCCACCAGGCGGGCGCGCAGAGCTGAGAAGGGCTCCCCTACAGGTGCAAGTCCGGTGGTTTCGTCCGACCCCGCGCGCGCGCGGGAGTTGTTGAGGGGCGGGGCCGCTGCGCACTTAGGGCGGTTGGGCTAGGCAAGCTCAGACCTCGTCAGTGCAGTCGCCGAGTGAGGTTCTCGCCACTGAGCTGCCCTTCAGACCTCTGCCGCCATGGCCTGCAGACCTAGAAGCCCACCCCATTATGGGAGTCTCCGCGACAGCGGTGCGAGGTAAGCGGGTCATGCGGTCTACAAGTCTTCGGTTTCTAGCCGTCTGTGAGGTAAGGGTTCTTTGAACCATCGGTGCTTTGGGGGCCCCGCCCACTGACCGCAGTCTGTGTCCTCAGCCGGCGGTCCCCTGCGAGATGGAGTCTCGGACGGAAGCGCCGAGCGGACGGAAGGGACCGGAAGCCCGAGGACTCCGAGGAAGGCGAGCTCCAGACTGCGGACCAGCGACCTGAAAGGTGGGCCCCGACTCATTGGAAACGTGTTGGTTACTCGGTGGGGTCTGGAGGCGGGCCAAGGGGACCCTCATCCCATGGCACTTGTTTTTTCAAAGCTGCTGGAATAGATTAGGTTACTCTCGAGATTCTCTTCAGTTTTGCCCAGTGTTAGAAGCATCTTACCAGCGACTGATAGGTGGCAGCAAAACTGGTTTTTATCCGGAGTGGGTCAGCCTTTATATTTTTCACACATAATGTTAATAACGTCAAAGACTTATACTTTAAACATCTTGTTAAAATGTTTCGATTTCCCAACACTCCCTGGCAGGGAGGGAGGGAAAGAGAGAGTGAGAGTGTGTGTGTGTGTGTGTGTGTGTGTGTGTGTGTGTGTTGGGGCAAGAAATAGGTTTTATTACCTGAGTGAAAGCGAGATACAAGCCAAAATTGAATCCCTAGGTTATTCATACTTCTAGTGGTTCCTGGGTCCTTTCCATCTGATAAGCTGTTCCCACGGTATTTAGATCTTTTTTTTCTTTTTTTCTTGAGGCATTGTGCTGAGGTCAGTGAGGTCTCTTGCTAGCCTGATGGAGGTGGACCAGCAAGTGAAATAGTAATTCAGAAAGACCAGGAGTGTCTTTAAGAGTCAGGTGGTGATTTGGACCCCTCAGGGAAGTGCTCTCTTTGGGGACCTTTGTGTAGTTAGTGATTGATGAAGAGGAAAGTCATCTCAGAAATTTTGACCATTCCTCCTTATGGGGATATGTGGTTTGCTAGATGGCTGACTAGAAGGAAGGATAAGGTAAGAACAGGGCTGCTAAGCCCAGTGAAGGTACATGGAGACTTAACTCCATGACTTCTGAATACACAGGCAGTGTTGATTGAGGATAGAAAAGTCAGCCCGACTCAAACCCTTGACCATTTCTGATGATGACAGTCATTCCTCATGGTAGCAGCAGCAGAGGATGTGCAGATCTATTTTGGGAGGGAATCTTGTTAACCTTGGGGAAGCTTTCAGGTGAAAATATGAAATTACCAGCACATATTTGAAGACATTAGACTGGTTGTGGGAGTATAGGGAAGGCCGTAGGCTAGTCTTAAGGTAGGTAAAAGAGAAGGTGATAGTGTTTATAAATAATTTCAGTTGTGATCAGGAGTTAGAGGCAGGAGAATCACAAGTTCAAGTTCTTTCTTTGCTACATACAGAGTTTGAGACTAGACTATCTTGTTTCAATGAAAGCAAAACAAAACCAACTAAATAAAAACCTTACTGAGCTGAAGCTTTGAACCCTGTCATGGTCCTAATTATCTGAAAATAAATGTTAGGGGGTTTTTGGTATGTTTTAAGACGGTTTCTCTGTGTGACCTTGGCAATCCTGGAACTCACTAGGTAAACCAGGCTGGCCTTGAACTCAGAGGTCCACCTCCCTCCCAAGTGTTGGGATTAAAGTATTTTTGTGTGTATGAGTGTTTTGTCTGATAGAAGTGTACCTCATGTGTGCCTGGTGCCTGTGGAGATGAGAAGAAAGCATTAGAGCTCCTGAAACTGGATTTATGAGTGATTGTGAGTTTCCATGTAGGTGCTAGGGACTGAACCCATGTCCTCTGTAAGAACAGCAAGCATTCTTAATTGCTGAGCCATCTCTCCAGTCCCAAATTTCAGATTGTTAAATTCTGTAGGTCTTAGGTCTTGGTATCTAGACTTCCCCTGGTTGATAAGTTGCCACAGACACTTCATCATGCTAATGATGGGAGTGCTTCAGTGTGCTGGCCTTTTATTTATTTATTTTTTAAGACTGGGTCCCATTTTGTAGCCTTGGTAGACCTGTAATTCATGATATATTCATGTAATTCACCAGGCTGGCCTTGAACTCACAGATCTTCCTGCTTTTAAGTGCTAGGATTACAAGAATGTAGGTTATCATTACTCACCAAATTTTCTTGTCCAAAGATTTCTTTAACAGGAAACTAAGCCCTAAGTTAATTATATTTAACTAAAGTATTGGGGGTGTATTTTAAAGATAGACTAATTCTTTTTAGTGCAGTTAGAGTTGCAAACATCAGGTTTGGTGGGGAATGTCTTTAATTCCAGCACTTGGGAGGGAGAGGCAAAAGGATCTCTGAGATCAAGGCCAGTCTGGTTTACATAGTAAGATTTTATCTCAAAAACAAAAGAACTTTAGATCCACAAGACTCATATTCTCCTCTATTTCACACTGATTGAGATGCCTCTTGTATAGTGAGTCTTGCGCATCTAAAAAACAAGCCTCCTCTGTATTGTTGGATTCTCAGTGTGGGTTGGTCACAGCATGCACTATGCGTTTTTGTTATCTGGAGTCTACATTAAAAATCCTATAATTTGATTTGCAACTAAATGAGCCCATTGAAGCCAGATATAGTGGCTAGCACCTATATTCCCAGCACTTAGGAAGTAGCTGAGGCATGAGAGTTTTCAAGACTATATGGTGAGACTGGTCTAAGAACATGAAGCCAAGTTCCGTAGGAGGTCCTCTTCATGGTGCTGACAGATCTAGCACTGATTCATATAAGGCAGATAGACAAAGTACTTAACGATTTCAATGCATTTTTATTTTATTGTAGCTTTACAACTCCTGAAGGCCATAAGCCCCGTTCTAGATGTTCTGACTGGGCGAGTGCAGTTGAAGAAGATGAAATGAGGACCAGAGTTAACAAAGAGATTGCAAGGTATATACTTTGTTGTGGCTGGACTTGGCTACTTTGTGGGCCTCCCCATGCCCCCATTTCACTCCCTCACTAGATAGGAGAGAAAGAAAGATAAAGGGCAAAGAGGGAAGGTCCTTTTTGAATCTAAGGTTCTTTCTTCTTTGCACACACTACTAACAACCTCAGTTAACAGTCCTGAAGGCCAACAACCACTCACCCTGCCTCTTGGTGCTCTGGCATTTATATACCCTCTGAAAAATTCTCAGAGATCCAAACATCACACAATCACAGAAATTATCTGCAGCTGTCAAAACCATGCTTCTACTAGAGCATCAGGCAAACCACAGCTGCTGCAAAGCACAGCTCCCTAGCTCCATACCTAGTAGTAAGACAAAAATCAGAGTCTTCTAATATTTTTGTGGGTTTTGTTTGTTTGTTTGTTTTGCTTTGTTTTTGTTTTTTTTTCCAGACAGTTTCTGTGTAGTCCTGACTGTTCTGGAACTCATCTGTAGACCAGGCTGGCCTCAACTCAGCTGCCTACCTCTGCCTCCCAAGTGTAGGAGTTAAGGGTGTGTGCCACCACTTCCTGGCTTTGGCTTATTTCTGTGTGTTTTTGTTTTTTTTGTTTTTTGGGGTTTTTTTTGTTTGTTTGGTTTGGTTTTTTGAGACAGGGTTTCTCTGTGTAGCCCTGGCTGTCCTGGAACTCACTCTGTAGACCAGGCTGGCCTCGAACTCAGAAATCTGCCTGCCTCTGCCTCCCAAGTGCTGGGATTAAAGGCGTGCGCCACCACAGCCCGGCTATTTCTGTGTTTTTAAAAGAAACCAAAGTTCCAGAATTCTTACTAAAGTTTTTATTTTTTTTTTCCAATTACTAACTATATATTCATAGGATGTCTTAAAATAATGGTTCTCAAAAATCTGTTCCTTAGAGATTGGTATTTTTGCTCATTAGTAATGAGTTTGCCTAGCATGATGAGTCCCTGAGTTTATTGACCTTCCCCCCCCAACACAAAAAGGGAAAACTCTAGTCCTTAGGCAAGCATCAGCATCTCTTGGAAGCTTGTTAGAAATACACATTTGCAGGCTCCTTGAGCTGCTGGATAGGGCTGGGTATT